CCTGTATCCTTTACCAACTACACACTACCTTTCCTAAAGCCTGCTCATAGCATGTCTTATGCTCCTCAGAGAACAACCAAATTGAAGGCTTCCATTCAAGTATGAAGTATTGACCATGTTATCCATGTTAGCCCATTAACAGAGCTCCTTCCTAAGGGACAGCTGTTGCCAACCCCATCTGTCTGGATGAGTCTGGCTCATCTAAAGCAATGCCTCTGGTGACAAGAATTGGGTCAGTATATTACCCAGTGTGGACAATGGAACATGGGAGGAAACTCTTCAATGGGGATTCCTTCCTCCTATGGATGATTAGAAGATATAGTCTCTTTTCCTCTGAAGAGTCTGGTGTCTGGATGTGGCCCTTGAAACAACCACAGACCCCTTGATAGCAGCCTGAGGAAGGTGACAGAGAAGAGACGGAAAGAACTTGGATCTCTGGTAACCAGTTTGGGCCTATCCCTATAATGCCTGCTCTATGAAATAAGACTTTCCCTACTGGGGACAACAGATTGTGAAGAGGGGCTTCATGTACTTGTGACTTGAGTTGGCTATCTATTGCTGAAAAACAAACTGTCCCCATGCTTAGAGGCTGAAAGCAATAGCATTTCTTCACACTTTCTGTAGGCCTGGAAACTGGGCACAGCTTAGCTGGATGGCTATGGCACAAGGTCTCCTACAAGATGCAATCAAGGGGTCCTCTGTAGTTTCTGCTGACTCATGGGCCTTCAGTCATGGTAGAAGGACATAGAGTCTCAATTCCTTATCACAAGGGTCTCCAGAGAGTAGCTTACCCATGCCTGATGGCTTTCTCCAGAGGGGAAAAGCAGAAGACACACTTAAGATGAAAGCTACAGTCATTCTCTACACTCATCTTGGAAGTGACAACTGGCTTCCTACTGCTTTGCCCCGGTTCCTTTATTAGACAGGAATCACTGACACCAGCAAAAGGGCAAACACAGAAAGATATCACTGGGAGCTATTCTAGAGGAATTTACCACATTAAAGGACTGGATTCGACTAAAGTACAGAGAAGCAGAAGTTGGTCTACTAAGCTCCACTGAGACTTTCAATCTTTCTCTAATATAATGACCACAGGTCTCTTGACAGAATGTTGACCCACTGAGGGTGCCCTAAAGAAGACCTAAACTGTTGCTGCTGGATGCTCTCTAGACTCAAGTGCATCCCAATTTAATGATGATGAATGGAATAGTGATTATTATGTCAGGCACCATGTTGAAAGATAGATACAAATATAAAGAAGACTGTTAAGCCTCCAACTACCTTTGGCATGTGCCAGGTGCATGTAACATAGGTTAGGTAAAGGGTTAGCATCTAAAAAACGAGGAGGAGAATTCAAGCTGGAAAGATGGTGGGCTTGGTAAAGACTTGTTCTGGAGCCAGCAAGGTGCAGACGGAGAAGGAGCTGGAGCATACAGAGTCCACATCAGTCTATATCCAAGCTAGGGCTATCTTAGTTGGGCTGAAGAACAGACTGTGGGCAGCTGGCCTCTTCAAGCCAAGCACACACAGTATGGCTACTTCCTCTCCCTTCTGAGATCTTGACCCCAACTATACATTTTTTCAAAAGTCTAGAGTTATGAACACATGGATACTGTCTTCATTTTGCCCTTGTTCCGGTGAATGTGGTTTCATGGCCACAGAACAAATACTGATGTTGGTTTATGTTTTAAACAGGGAATGAGGGGTTTGTCCTGGACCAGCATTCAGGAAGGCAGCAGTAAAGAGGTATTCAAGCAAAGCCATCAGGACTGGGGCAGAGCCCAAATCCCATGGAGGTCAGGGAGGAAGGGAGGGGATGGAATAGAAAGGCCAGAGTAGGAGCTGTCAAAACACAGGGCATAGTTCAGAGGATCTACCTAATGTCTTGTCATCACCGTACCACATTTGCATACAGATTCATCATCTTGACTAGTTTTTGGAATGTTCTCAACTTAGGAAGGTCAGCTGTACTTACTGGTTTCAAGACAGCCTAACACCTGAGTGTTATATACCATCTTCTGGACAAATCACAATGGACAGGCAAAAGCCAAAGGTACCTTACAGGAGTTTTTCAACTCAGTGAGAGAAAAGAACAGGTGATGGATGGAGCAGAGGGAGGGTCAGAGATCCTACAGTGAGACACTCCACTGTATTCTGGCTCAGATCCCCCAGGCTTGGCAGAGCTGAGGTGGGTCCACATGAAATCCTGTGTGTGGGAGTCCTGATAGACTACCCGGACTTTGGAGGTATTCAAGGTAAGTTCCCAATAAGGGTATGGCTTTTCCTTTACAGAGAATACAGTTTTAAAATGGAACTCGGGAAGAGATACATTAAGAGGCTTGTAGGTAGAATGAAAATGTTTCTACTGAGTTTCCACATAGCTCCAAATAGCCAGAAGTCTGAAGGCGAGACTCAGTGAGAAACACAAGGGCAGAAATAAACACCTGATACTCTGTGTTGACCAACTGTGCCTCTCCTAAGACAGGTAAAAGGAGGAACTGGATTTCAGCATAATGGAAAAATAAAAGAGCACAAAGGATTCATTTTCCTTAACTATTCTTCAATAAACCCTAAATCAAAGAAGGCAAGTTGTATTCTGCCTGTCTGGGCAGGTGATCCCAGTTTTCAATGTCAAAAACAACAGACAGACCAGTTCTAATTAGGAAGTGTAACTTCTCTACATTGGATGCCTGAGATTTTGTTATACAAGCAGTCAGGAGAGAACAGGGATTGATCTCAGGCTACCTCCAAGGTACAGGACTAGGTTCTGGCAGCCAAGTGAGATTTAATGAAGTGATATGTGCTGAATCCAATCGAATGACCCCTGGGGTCCCTGTCTCAGTCCATCCTTCATTTTATTATGGGCTTTGTGACACAGATGACTAAGGGAGCCCAGATGACATGTGCCTGGAAAAGTGAACTCATAAGGAGTTGGGAAGTTGGGTCCAAGAAGGGAAACGGAGCCAAAAGGCAAAAAGAAATCAAGACTAATGACATTGTCACTTGGGTGCACAACTTACTCAGACCTGCTAAGAAGCCTGAGGACAGGCTGGGAAACACCTTCACAGCACCATAGATGAGGGAGGAAGCTCTGCCTTTCAAGCCTGACACAAATTTCTGTAAGTTCCTCTCAGCTTCTGTCTGCCTGTGTGCTGGTGGCAACAGTAAGCACTTCCCAAGCAAGACACATGTGTCCAGGAGTTTGAACACAGGCAGCTGTGAGAGACAGTTCAGGCCTTTACCTGGTTCTTCCTCCCTTTGTAGATGACCATGCTACTGATCCTGTGGGTGTTCTCTCATGACAGCGGGAGCTTTACTGTGCTCATCTGTCTATCTATGCTCACTTTTCCTCCTAGAAAGGAGAAGCTGTGGGTGAGGATACCAGTCACAGGAGTGGCCTCTGACATGACATGGCCTTGGTGTGGAGGGCTGAGAATGCACCCTCTCTTCAGAGAAGCTACAGTGGCTGGAGGCCATCTATACCACAGCTAGCATTTCACTGATATCTAGTCAATTCTTTTTAGCCTTTTTTTATTTATTTATTTATTTATTTATTTATTTATTTATTTATTTATTTATTTATTTATTTATTTATATGTGCATGAGTGTTCTGCCTGCATTTTCATAAGTGCACCCCTGAGGGCAAACCTGAAGAGGCCAGAAGAGGGTGTTGGATTCCCTGTGTGGGTGCTGGGAACCAAACGTGGGTCCTCCGGCAAGAACAGCCAGTGCTCTTAACTGCTGAGCTATCTCTCCAGCCCCTCTAGTCAATTTTTTTTGGTCTTTTTTGTTTGTTTGTTTGTTTGTTTGTTTTAGACAAGTCTCCCTGTAGCCCCAGCTGGCCTGGAACTTGGTATGTAGTCCAGGCTGGCCTAGAACTCACTATGTAGTCCAGGCTGGCCTCAATCTCACAGAGATCCTTTTCCCTCTGCCTCGCAAGTGCTGGGACTAAAGGAATACCTCACCATGCCATGCTCTTGTTAATTCTTAATTGTCAAATACCTTATCACAAATCATTTGCATTCAGAAGCATGTCAAGTGTCAAGATGATTTAAAAAGGATATAATAACTATGTGTGGAGAAAAATAAACTGAATCACAACTATTTTGCCTAGAAAAAGTAATTAAGTTGGTGGCCAAGAAACTATGCTTGATTTCCAAAATGGATGGAAAAGTAAATGTAGTAGTGGAAAAGCATAAATTTCCTACAAAGTTGGCCACTGGGCGACTGCAGAGCGTCACTGCATCATCATAAAAACATGGTCCAGGATGCACAGGACCAAGACAAATATGCAGTCCTGACTTTAGGGTGATGCCTAGTGAACATGTAGAGTTTGTAACATTCTTACCCATCTCAAGGTTAAAATGTATACTTATTAAGGCCCAAAGGAATCCCAAGAAACTTCAAGGCAAGACCATATCAGATATGATGAGAAACAGGCAAACTAGAACTATAATTCCGTCTGTGACTAGACTCAAACTGCTTCCTCTTTTGGTTTCTCCGTTTCTTTTTCTGCAGAGAAGTAGTGCCATGGACTGGCCACTGGCCCTGAGGTTCAAGGTTGCCTTATAAAGAAGTACTCCCAGCTCCTGAGCACCACCCTGGTGTGCATGCACGGCCAACCTGAGCGAGCCTCCTGCAGAATGGCAAATCAGTTGTGCCACTGGTTGTTGCTCTCTACACCCATTCTGAAGACAAACTCAGCCTTTAGAGCATGAGCTCGCCACTAACCATTCACCTACAGGGACATCTTCAGCTGAAGTCTGACTGCAGATAGGCACAAAGACCTCACCACATCATTCTTAGGGGAACTAAAAACATGGCACTCACAGTGCATTCTCTGTGAGGCTGGATGCATTGCATTGAGCATTTGGAAAGAAAAGCTGGGAAAAAAAGCTACAGACATGAACAAAGGAAAGTCTGGAAGCTCAGATTCATACCAGTAGTGATCAGAAAGACAGGTGCTCAACACATAGCTGAAATGGAAATGAGCCACGTACGTTTGGGTCTCAGCTCTGAGGTCTTGGAACCAGCGCCTTCCCCAGGAAAGGTGACAGGCTCCGTCACATCTGTGTCAGGAGGAGGGTAGGGTGGGGGCGGGGGGAGCACTAACTGGGGTGGGCCCCGAGCTGTGCCTCTGGGAGGCTTTTGTGGCACTTGGCGTCCAACACCTACGTGGAATCAATGGGAGGGATTCAAAGGTTAAGCCAGAAGATGTCTTGTCTCCAACAAAGGGTATACTGCTATTGTTCACCAGACACCAAACCAGCCACACTTAACACCAAACTCCCCTCCAGACTATATGGAACTAGCCATATCCAATACCAAATTCAACATCAAAACAGCTACACACATCAAATTTAATACCAAAGCAATCAATCCAATACCAAATCCAGTACCAACCAAACCAACCACACCCAGTATGGAGTTCAGCAACAAGCCAGTCACGTTCAATATCAAACCCAACCTCACTCTGCACCAAGCCAGCCATACCCAACACCAAGTCCCTCTCCACTTTATACCAAACCAGTCACACACCCAGCACTAAATCCACTCAGCCAGCACCAAATACAAGTGCACAGCATACCACATCCAACCATACTCATGCTCACACATTTCACAGCACTTTACTGACAGCTATCATTTGGAAGGAACTGCCTGGTTGCCTGCTACTTCTGTCCTTCAGGCACAATTTAATGAATGCTGGCCCTGAAGCAGCTTGGAGACAGCACTGTCAAGTCGGAGGAATGCTGTTCCACACACTGGCCTTCTTCAGGCCTGCAGGTCCACACTCTCACTGTTGGGTCTGGAGGTTGCCTTGACTCAACGGCACTCATACTGTAGGCATTTCTGATAATTTCACAAGGAACTCCCCAAACCACAGGTGTTTACCCATTTCTAAAAGGAAGGAGGGGAGAGAGCTCGGAGGGAGGGAAGGCTCTCACCATGAAACAAGGGAGCACTACTCAATTGGACACAACCTTGGTAACGTGTTCTTCTCTTTTAAAATTTTGTATTCCATTTATTTATTCGGTGTGTGTGTGTGTGTGTGTGTGTGTGTGTGTGTGCGAGTGCACTTACACATATGACTCAGTACATGTGTGGAGATCAGAGGACAACCTGTGGGAGTTAGTTCTCATGCTTCTACCATGTGGGCCCCAGGGATCACACTCATGTTGTCAGGCTTGGAGGCTGGAGTCTTAATCCACTGAGCCATCCCGCCAGCCCATTTTCCATTCTGATATTATATTCCTCTGGGAAACAGGATGAACTGGTATGAAATACAGGCTGTTGCTTCTTAGGATAATTGATTCCAAGACTGTGAAATGCTAGGTATTAAAGGTAAAGTACTGACTAAAGGGGAAAATGTTGACAAGCAGCCAAGTCCTTGACAATGCAAACACTTATCTTTGGGAGTGTTTTCCCTCTGGTGCCACAGACTCTGGGCCAATGGTAAAGTGTAGGCTGCCTGAGTCAATGATTACGTATGGCAAGTGGTTGCCCAATGTCTTCAGCACTTTCAACCATGAGGGGTTCAGGCATGGGAATGGGGGGATCCTATGCTGCAGTGTTCCAGTCCTGTCTCTGCAAGGGCTGTTTGTGTTCCTACTCCAATGAAATAGCAGGGACATATACCGGGGCCTTTGTTAAATATATAAAAATTACATAAATGGAGATCAATTTCAAACAGGAACTCACTTACAAGCTGATATTCCAAGGCTCAGAACCAAATGTGTTTTTGATTTCAGTTTTTCTAATTTTAGAAAATTTACATATATATAATGAAGTACCTTCGGGATGGGACTCAAGTCTAAAGATGAAATTCATTTGTTTCATATCCACTTTATATATAGAATCTGAAGGCAATTTTATGCAATTTAAAAAACAATTTTGCTCATGAAACCAATCAAGCTCCATGGAATTTTCCATTTATGGCATCATATTGGTACTCAAACAGTTTCAGATTTTGGAGAATTTTATATTTTGGATAGTCAGATTAGGAATGCGTAACCTGGACAGACCATGTGGGGTCTAAGAGACCTTTCAAATGACAGATACTTCTCAAAACAGCCTGTACAGACATCCTCTGAAGAGCTTATTTCTCCCATCAGAGGGACACATGCCACAGCCACACATTCGAGCTCCATTTGGCAGTTTCTCCTGATTTTTCAACCACACTCCACCCTTTCCACCAACTCTACCTCCTCAATGCCATTCTCAGAGCAACGAAGATAGTTAAGTAAACTGACAGCTCGTTCCCAGACTCTGTTTCTTTAGCATAGATATTTTCTGGGTTAATGTAATTAACAAGGAATCCAATGCCAGGGTTAACAACAATGCCAACAATGTGCATGTTAACATCACCGGGCATCCCAGAGACATGCACAGAGCAGGCATGCTCACTCACCCACTGTGCTCTTTCTGTTCTCCTCTTTGTCTTCCTGGCGGCTGGGGACCACAGGACTTGGTGGAGGTGGTTGCGGGGGAGGGGGAGCGGGCGCCCGCCTCTTCTTCTTCTGTAGATCCACCTGTGAGCTGAGGGATGCCTAGGAAGCACAAAGCAGGAAGACAGAGGATCAGTGGGACACGCAAGGCACAACACACATGTGGAGCATGCACCCCTCAGAAGCAGTCTCTGTGTGGCATGGTTGTTAAAGAAGGGCTGTCACGCTGTCAGTCCAGTTTGATCTTTTCAGGTGGGCAAGGAGGCCTTGGTGCACCTCCCTGGTGGGGCCCCTGAGGTGGCAAAGTGATGATGGCTGATGTTCCACAGCCCCACCCTGTATCTGTGCAAGAAGCTCATGCTTTCTAGGAACTCCCAGCATGTCTAGAGATCTGTTGAACTTCCCGAGAGCATAAGGGAGAACTGGACTCCTGTCCTTATCTAGGTACAAAAGAGAGCTACTCTTTCTGGAACTGGAGAGGAGGTACAGTGTAGGACTCAGATTCCCTCCTGCCTCCTAATACTGACTTTCAGAACAGCCAGGACTGGCATAACAGACAGGATGCCCACCCTGCATCTAGAACCACAATGAAGTATTTCTGCATAGGGGCCCTTAGACCAAGACACAGGATATCTGCCTCCCATCCAGAGCAGAAATCCAGCTCTGATGCAAAGACGCTAGCATTAAATTCTCACAGCACCCATCAGCAGCTTGGGCAAGTATCACTGTTGAAAGTAAAATTTGTCTATGATCCATTGATTTCAGATCTTTGTTTCTGAAGGATCCAATTCTCTTCCCCATAGAGTTAAAATGATCAATTATTCATTCATTCTCACTGATTGGGATTCATTTAAGAGCAAGGGGCTATGTGCAAGGCAGTTAGTACAAGTATATACAAGTAAGGAAAATGATGACCCCACTCCTTTCCTGGCTTCAGTTACTCACAGCCAAGTCCTGTCCAATCATAACCAGACCTTTCCAGGGTCCGTCACAGGGACAGAATGTGTGCATACTGCCCCCTGATACCTCATGTCTGATCTGGGTGCTCTTTGGTTTAGTAATTCATGAATGTGCCATAGGTACTAGAATCGAGTATATATATAGTACCATATCACAAGTACCTCCTTTCCTAGACTGGAAACAATAGTGTTTAGTATAGTGTGTTTAGTATAGTGTGTTTAGTATAGTGTGTTTAGTATAGTGTGTTTAGTATGGTGTTTGTGTGTCTGTGTGTCTGTGTGTGTGTGTGTGTGTGTGTGTGTGTGTGTCTGTATATCTGTGTGTGTCTCTGTATTAAATATTCTTTTAAATTTTGTCAGTAATACACACTTACTGTGACAAAGTTTAAAATATACAGATAAAGCAGAACAAATTACTTTATTGGTCATCACAGAGCAAAGTATTAAGAGTTGGCAGATATTATTCTAATTTTATTTTTCTTCTTTTAAAAAGATGCTTTATGGGAGGCAGAGGCAGGTGGATCTCTGTGAGTTCAAGGCCAGCCTGGTCTACAAAATGAGGCTACAGGGAGACCCTGTCTCAAAAAAGACCAAAAAAAAAAAAAGATGCTTTATATTTTCTGGTACTGTAATATAACAATGCCCCCACTTTTAAAGTTCTTTGGTATATTTTGCACAAATGAGGGCAAAACAAAATCAAACACTCCTACCAAGTTTAGAACCATCAGTGACACTGTCTACCACTGCACTCCAGCAACAACCACAGAAAACACTTGCTCTTAGAATTTATTATTTCTCTGAGTAATAAGGTCCCTGTCCAGTCTGTTGATTGTATATGTTAGCTGTGGCTTTCGCTCTGGAAGATGGAGACTCAGTGTCTCCCCGCTTCCTCCAACACACGGAGGTATTTTTCTTCTTCTCTTATTATGGCCCAAGACTTCAGTTATTATTCACTATCGATTTACACAGTAGTCCGTCTTTTGCTGTAGTTATCTACAGTCAACTGTGGTTCAAAACTACTAACCAGAAAACAGACCGTTTGTATGTTTTCTGCTCTGCCCTGTTTCAGAGAACATGGTGAAGCTTCAGACTGTCCTGGGTCATTCTGTATGGAACAACTCATTTGTTCTATTTTATTCTTAGTTGAACTTCCAGGAAATTCACTGGTTTCTACTGTTCTGATGCCCTGTTTCCAGAACAAGATGCACATGGAGAAGATTTCTGAGACCTTGAAAATCTAAAACCATTTTATTCTATTACACTGCACATCAGTGCAGGTGTCTATAGAAACTCAGGCAAGAAATAACTATGACTGAAACACCGTAAGTATTCAGGTTTCACACTGCCCTCTCCTAGCCTGACACTGTATGACTGAGCCTTCCATGTTTTCGGCTCTCCTTTGGCTGACTCCCAGGACCCTCTCTCTCCTGTGTACCCTGATATTCCACATCAGCAGCAGGTGGATGCTTTTAATCCACTGTCTAGAACATTTCCTGATTCCTGCAATCTGCAGAATTTTCTATTCTTCCTTTCTCTCTCTCTCTCTCTCTCTCTCTCTCTCTCTCTCTCTCTCTCTCTCTCTATCAATTGAACCCTGAAGACTGTAAATCAACTGTCTATTTTTTTTCTTAAGTATTCCCGCCCATTTTTCTTTCTTGATCCCACTCCTCTTTCTTAGACATTTCCTTTATTTGATTGTCCAACTCTTTTGAGGTTTTTAAATATGATACAATATTTTAAACGTCCAAGATTTCATTTTTAATACACATTTTAAAAAATGGCACCATGGTCTTTTTCTTGGATATAGTATATTTTCCTTTCTCCTTGATATTTTTTTTCTCTCTCATCTCATTTACTCTCTCTTCAAATATCTGGTGCTCTTGGCTGACAGCTTACAATACACTGTTTCATGGGTAGAATCTGTTTGCATACTAATCCTGAGCAGAAATCTGGTTAGCTAATAGGAAATGTCTCTCTGTATCCACTTTTGCAAGACTCCCTCCTAAGTGAGCCCTGGCTCACAGAGTGTCCTGCCTAGAGGTGGGAGCTCAGGAGCAATGTGGAGTCAAGTGAGAAGGTCCGGAGGCTGTCCTGTAGTATCATGTGGAGCTGTCACTGTTTGCTATTGACTTAGACTTAGCCACATCTGATGTCTGGAGTCCACCCTTCTGTGGTGGAGAGCATAGTTGCCTGGGAGTAAGATCACGAGTTCTTCCTGCTCAGATGTACACTGGTTGCTTGCTATATCATCCTGTACTCAGGGCTGCAGAGGAATCTACTCCTCTAGTTCTGTAGCCTAGGGATGGGGCGTCCCTGAGCCTGTCTGACGGCCTCCCTTTCCCCAGACATGAACACTGGCTGCTTCCACTTCACCAGGAAGTGGTCAAAACACACTTGAGCTTCACTGTCTCCAAAAGACCGTTATTGCTCTACTTCAGTCCCAGTGAATTAGTAAGTTTTATATATTTTAGTGGGGTTTCAAAATGAGAGATGTTAATTTACTTTATTAGCCATATTTCCTTTGTTTTCAGATTTATTGAAGAAAAATTAATAAGTAAACAATGCATATATTTGATGTGCACAAACTGATTTGATACATGAGTAAAAATCATGTAGGAAACAATCGCAATCAAGCAAGTTCATATATTTGTCATCTTTATTTTCTGTCTCTCTCTTTCTCTCTCTATCCTATCCTATTCTACCCTATCTCCTCTATGCAAAGTTCCAAGTATTTTCTTAAACGACTATCACTATTTTGGATGGATGAGCCAAAATGAACTCAGCCTCTTGCCATTAGTTGAATATTAAGAATATTTGCTCTTGGTTATTACAAACTAAATTTCTTAGAATACTCTCTCATCATTTGCCCACATTTATCCATCTCTCACTCATGTTTATCTTTTGAGTTTTCAATAAATCCATTTCTTGTACTTTCTGATAGAGGTACAATAAGATGTGAAATTCAGCAAGAAGACACCAGATTCCAAAATTACTTATCCCAATTAAAAAAAAAAAAAAAAAAGCTTCTCAATAGTAAGATGGCAGAAAAGGAAGCTCCAGCACTTGTTTTACAGAAACAATGACTTAACAACCATCTAAAGTCCAAAAAGCTTTAATTAGACTCCAAGAATCAGTTAGGAAATCACAACACTGAGACCATTCAAAGCCAGGAGTGGCCACATCAAAATGAGTAAGAAAAGCCAATTCACTTCAACCTCAAAAGCCCTTCACGCAAGTACAGCTCAGTACTCTCTTGGGAGAAAGGAGAAGAAGGGATCATAAGAGAATTCCAGAAAGGCTGCCTGGGGAGGGACTGGCTCTTTCCTGAGTGACAAGGAGTGCTCATGAAAAGCTGATGTCATTTAAATGTGAGCAGGGTGTACATGAACACACAAGGTTACAACTGGCCAAGTCTTAGAAAATAAGAGACTGTAGAGTCCATGTCCCTGGAAAGGACTCCTATATTAAACCATGGCTCAGGGACCACTGCAGAAGAGGGTGTGGAAAGATTGTAAGAGCCAGAACTGTGCATGAGCATAAGGAAACAGAGGCTTTCAGGTCACTAGGAACTTGCTTATATGAACTTCAACAATGCTGACAGCATGTACAAGATCCATGCTGACTCAATCAGACAAAAACCAGCATAGAACAGGGGAAATGGGCATCAGGCCCCAAACATTACCAAGGAACTACTGACAACTGATTACTACTGTGTGAGGGCGAGTAAATCTTTCTTAAAGGAATGACTCTAGATAGGCTTACTAGACTCCAGTGGATGAACTTGCACCGAGGGACATTTTGGTAAAATGCTTGACTAGCTAGGACTTAACATATATGAAAGAATGTGTAAAATCTAGTGGGGAGGATTATGGAGAGGTACAGATGAGGGAGAGGGTCTAAATTTGGTTAAGATCTATTATATGAAATGCACAAAAACTCAATAAGATTTTTTTTTAAATTATAATAAAATAAAAATTTGAGTGGAAAAACATCTAGGTGGGGTCAGAAACAGAAGAAAGAAGATCTTAAAAATTGGTTACTCCGGAGCTTAGAGACCTGACGTTACACCGACAGAGGCTGGCATAGCTTTGCATAATCAGGAATATGCACCAGCTTGCAGTTCACACCTTTGGAAGAAATAAG